GGTTCGAGTCATGGTCAGGCAGTTTCAGTCAGGGTTTAGAAGTGGTTTTTTCAACTGACACATGTTTAATTCATTTAATAGATTGCATTTAATTTGAAATGGACAAAGGCAGTATTGCGTGATACTTTTAAATCTACAAAAAGCATTTGGTACAGTTGATCACACTATACTGCACATCAAGAAGTTCTTTTTTCTTCTTCTTCATGGAACTTCAAGCATCTGCCATATGTAATGACATTCTTGCATGGTTCAAGTCTTATCTCTGATAGCAGCTGGTGAATGTGGCTGGTACTTCTTCTCTCTGAATACCTATATGGTGTCCCCCTGATGTTCATTTTAGGTCCTCTTTTATGTCTAATATATGTCAATGACATGTCTGCAACCCTAAGCAATAAGCTTTTATTATATGCACAGGCACAAGTATCAGACCTGGGAAGAAAACATATTACCAGATTGATAAAAAAACCTGTGTTCATCTTAAAAGTGTCACAAACCAAAAAAAAAAAAATGTAAATGATGACCCCCTTTAAAAATGTACTTTAAGTTAATAGTATATTTTTAAAGGGGGTCATTATTTACATTTTTTTTTTTTTTGGGGGGTTTTGACACTTTTAAGATGAACACAGATTTTTTATTAATCTGGTCATATTTTTTCTTCCCAGGTGTGATACTTGTGCCTGTCATTATATGATGATGACTCAGGTATCCTTGTATCTGGTAAAGTAAATCTTAAGATTGGTTTATTGACTATAAATTGTCTTTGCATCTTGGCAAGACAGAGTCTATTCTTTTTGGTTTAAGTTTCAACATAAACTGGGCCAAGCCTCCAGGTCACATGAAATGGTACTGCTATAAAGTACACATCTTTTGTTAAGTATTTAGGTGCAAACCTGGATCAAATTCTTTTGGCGTCGCCCTTTGATGCTTTGCATCAATGCTTTTCTTGTATTCAATTTTTTACGGATATTACTTTGATTTCACAAATGTGAGCGAATGTTATTGTGTATTATAGAACTAATTGAGGAATTCAGACAATCGGCGGTGAATTTCGTTTTCATTTCATTTAAAATCGTAAATTAATTGATTACAGTCGTATTCTATTAGGAGAAATAAAATCAATTATGGAAATTTTTTGATATGCAACATTCAATTAGAAAGGAAGAAAAACGAAATACTACACTTTGCAAAAGGTCGCGAAAAAAATGGTTACGTCATATCAGACATCTAAGAATATAACGACGATCCGAACATCCGGATGTATCCGGATGTTTGATTCGGATATCCGGATGGCCGTTTCGGCTCCAGATGACATCCCTATTATTGTTTAATGCACACTTGTCTTGGTGACATGGTTTACAGTAGTGCAGAGTCAAATGACAATTACATGTAGTAACATCATATGGTAGTGCACAAATGTCCTCTGATGTGATAATCATTGCTAACAATGATCGGGGCCGGGCTGATTTGACCCAAGGACTTTTATTATTTAAACAAACCTGGTAGACACCCTTTAGAAGATGCTTCATGCTTAATTTAAGTTATTAATATATATATATGTTAAGACAAGAGGGCCACAATGGCCCTTATATCGCTCATCTGATTATGAAGGCTCAATATCCCTCTTATTTAGGTTGTGTGACCTAGTGCAAATATGACCAATATTTGAACTTGACCTAGAAATCGTCAAAACAACCTTTCTAACCAATTTTCAGGTTATTTCGATCACAACAGTAGCCTCTAAGGTGTAAACAAGGTTTTTGTGTCGCCTTGAAAAAGGCGACATATAGGGGTTACTTTTGTCGGCGTCGTTGTCGGCGTCCCCTAAAGCTTGTTCGGAGCATAAGTCAGTCATAATCAGTTGGATTGACTTCAAACTTTGTATGCATGCTTCTTATAATGACCCGAAGTGCAGTGCACAAGAACGGATACTCTGCACTTCTTATCTTTTGAGTTATTGCCCTTTGTTAATTTTCGTACTTTATTTTTGTCCGAGCCATTTCTCCTTAAGTATGAAATCTATGGACTTGAAACTTCATAGGATGATAGATCTCATTAAGAAGAAGTGCAGTGCACAAGAACTGGTACTCTGCATTTCTTATTTTTTGAGTTATTGCCCTTTGTTAATTTTCATACTTTATTTTAGTCCGGGCCATTTCTCCTAAAGTATAAAAGCTATGGACATGAAACTTCATAGGATGATAGATCTCATTAAGAAGAAGTGCAATGCACAAGAACTGGTACTCTGCATTTCTTATTTTTTGAGTTATTGCCCTTTGTTAATTTTCGTACTTTATTTTTGTCCGGGCCATTTCTCCTAAAGTATAAAAGCTATTGACTTGAAACTTCATAGGATGATAGATCTCATTAAGAAAAAGTGCAGTGCACAAGGACGGGTGCTCTGCATTTCTTATTTTTTGAGTTATTGCCCTTTGTTAATTTTCATACTTTATTTTTGTCCAGGCCATTTCTCATAATTACAAAAGCTTTAGACTTGAAACTTAATAGGATGATAGATCTTATTGATAAGAAGTGCAGTGCACAGAGACTGCTTCTCTGCATTTCTTATGTTTTGAGTTATTGCCCTTTGTTGATTTTCAAATTTCATTTTTTGTCGTGGCCATTTCTCCTAAACTATATTGTTCACAAGGCGACACATCCGACTCGCGGAGTTCTAGTTCCATATAAGGGATGTGTGACCTAGTTTCTGAACACATCTGACCCGTATTCAAACTCGATACAACCATTCTGACCAATTTCCAGGATATTTATCTGAAACAGTAGCCCCTAACATCCGAGATAACCCATGTTTGAACTCATCCAAGCAATTACAAATGTACTTAGACACGCATCCTGACCAATCTATATTTCAAGTCTGCGTGTACAAGAAAAACAAGAAAGTAGGTAAAAATATAGTATCAAAAATATCAAAAGTAGGTCTAATATAAAAAAGACATCTAGAAAATAATGTTTCCTTGAGATTTTAACATACAATCTTCAATTTGTTAGTGAAAATCTTAACCCCTAATCACCGAGGCTAGTAAGGCATATGTTACATTGATAACTGAAAGTTAAGTCACAAGCTAAATATACAGGTATATATAAGGATTGTACATCATCAATACGTTCAAGGGGGCTACATTTGTATTGCAAATGTAACTAGAACTGCCACTATCATGGCGTGAATACCCCCGCATACCACTTTGTCAGAATCAACCATGGCCATTTAGAGCTCAAGGACAACCTCCCTGTATGAGGTTACTAAGCCAGTGCATTGCTAAGTTATGTATTCTACATGCTTCAAATGTGAAAATGTCAAAATCAATACATTGCGGACAGGACATTCTTTAGCAATTGAGAAGAAAAGCTTTTTTTGTCAAGGTCCCTTTGACCCAGTGACCTCAAAGTCACCTTATAGTCATGATCAACATCCATGCCAAATATGAAGACTCTGGGTCAAAGGAATCTTAAGTTAATGGGTGGACAAACTTTTTGAAGTCAAAGTCCCTATGACCTTGACCTTTGATCCAGTGACCTCAAAATAAAAAGGGGTCATCTACTAATCATGATCAACATCCATGCCAAATATGAAGACTGTGGGTCAAAGGAATCTAAAGTTATTGGGCAGACAAACTTTTCGAAGTCAAAGTCCCTGTGACCTTGACCTTTGACCTGGTGACCTCAAAATCAATAGGGGTCATCTACTAATCATGACTAACCTCCATTCCAAGTATGAAGACTGTGGGTCTAAGGAATCTTAAGTTATTGGGCGGACAAGCTTTTTGAAGTCAAGGCCCCTGTGACCTTGACCTTTGACCCAGTGACCTCAAAATCAATAGGGGTCATCTACTAATCATGACTAACCTCCATGCCAAATATGAAGACTTTAGGTCAAAGGAATCTTAAGTTATTGGGCGGACAAGCTTTTTGAAGTCAAGGCCCCTGTGACCTTGACCTTTAACCTGGTGACCTCAAAATCAATAGGGGTCATCTACTAATCATGACTAACCTACATGCCAAATATGAAGACTGTAGGTCAAAGGAATCTCAAGTTATTGGGCGGACAAGCTTTTTGAAGTCAAGGCCCCTGTGACCTTGACCTAGTGACCTCAAAATCAATAGGGGTCATCTACTTATCATGACTAACCTCCATGCCAAATATGAAGACTGTAGGTCAAAGGAATCTTAAGTTATTGGGCGGACAAGCTTTTTGAAGTCAAGGCCCCTGTGACCTTGACCTTTGACCCAGTGACCTCAAAATCAATAGGGGTCATCTACTAATCATAACTAACCTCCATGCCAAATATGAAGACTAAGGGTCAAAGGAATCTTAAGTTATTGGGCGGACAAGAAAAAAACGACGGACAGCCGGACGGACGGACGGCCGGACGGACGGACAAGCTGATTCCAGTATACCCCCCTTACAACTTTGTTGTGCGGGGTATAATTACTATAATCAGAGACATAGATAACAGAGATAAGCAGCTCCTATATACTCCATTGAAATATCACTCATGCCTATAAAAAGGTGAAAAATTTAGGCATTTTGTAGCAAATAAAACTTTATGGATGTACATTTTATCATTTAATATTATATACCATTTGAAAGGTAAATCTGTTATCTATAGCTGCATGTTAAAATATTGGTAACTTTCCATGCCTTTCACTTAGAAAAACATAGCAGAACATACCCACTGAGCCAGTTTTTTCACCACATGAATAGTTTTGTAACAAAAATTAATAAGTAGTTCTGTTTAAAAATCGATGAATCATTTATTTAAATAAGAACTGTAAATATTTTTACCTGCAGCTATAGACAAATGCATAAGCTTTTACAAAACCGCCGATAAAATTATATATAAAAAAAAATTCCACTATCAAAATTATAGTTATATAACTATAATTTTGATAGTGGAAAATTTTTTTTTTAATTTAATTTCATCGATGATTTTGTATTTGGTACCTTATAGTAAGCCTTAGAGTGTTGAATTATTTTTTTTCAGCGTTGTAGTAGGGGTCCAGGGGCAGATAGGGGTGGGGTGTCCAAACACTGATACTGCCACCTGTGGATTTAATGGGCTTCACCTATTTACATAATTCACTTGATGATTTTTGGATATAAGGAAGGAAAGATGTGTTACAAAATTTAAATTGCAAGTAAGTAAAACATTTTCTGGTATTAGATAAATAAAATTTTAGTTGTAATTACTGTCGGGTTTATTGGCATGACCAAAATATTATAAAAAGTGAAAATAATGGTATTTTACCATATCTTTAAAATGATAATATTAATATTTTCTATTTAAGGAAATAGAAAAATGCATTAAGTGTTTTTAAATATCAGAAACACTAAAAGCAAATTCACCATAAGTGTATTCTTTTTGAACGTGTTCAATTATTATATTTCACCTCGTCAAAACAGGATATGTAAACTATAAGTTATGCTATTTATATTTAACACATTGATAGATAATGATATTGTATCCTACAAAGCTTATAAAATATGAAATGAAAACAAAATTAAATTAATAAGAATTCAAGTAATTAATTAATATAATTATTTTGCAACATATATATTGTATATTAACAATGTAAGGTATGATGGAGGATGACCCAGACCCCCTCATACCTATTACGGGGTAAATAAACGGGGTAACCCAGATGGGGCCTTAAAAAAAAAGAATACAAGTATATTTTAGAAAATAATCACGCACTTCGCTATCCGTGTATAGGGAAGAAAAAAAATAAGAAATCGATAATATAGCGAAAACTGTCGTTGTGATAAAGAAATATTAATTTTACATATTTGAGTTGAATTTATATAAATATACATGTAACACATACTAATAATTGGCATAGGACCACCCAAAAATGGGTATGACTAAATTATGAAAAGTGAGCAAAGTGACTTAAAAACGTAAAATGTATAGTCTGATTTTATTGACCTGTCAATTATGAATACATTATAGCACTCATTTAAATATTCGATCCAACTTCGGGTTTGTCCGTTTATTTTACGATAATTAATATGGAGTATATAAGTAACATTTTGAAAACTCCCATTAGCTTAATGTGGATTCTCGTAACATCCGCAATAGCACAGTTGGTTAAGTGATTACCTAATGTATGAGAGGTGCGAAGTTCGATCCATTCTTTTTAAATTCTTTGTAGGCTTATTCTTTCTTTATATTTAAGTATATTTAAATGAAAATTGTCAAGCGTTTGTCTACACGGATATGAAACAAAGTAGAAACATTGAATTGTCCCATTTTGTTTTGTATTTTACGGCACTGAAATGACATTTATTGAATTTAATTCAGATGAATTTTGAATATAAACTCTTAAACAAGTATAGTATTTACCGAAAAATGCAAAGCATATTAAAACAGAAAGAACAACCATAACTTCGAAAATGTTGAAAATAGTTATGAATAAGAAAAGAAATGGACATACTCTGTCTCGATCTTATAACACATGGGGCATTTAGATATTAATATATACCCGCAGCTTACCCTATTTCGCTATAACGGTCTGTGTAACTACTTCATAGAAACACGAAGAATTTAATAACATCTTACTGCGTACATCTCACGGAATTAACCGAACATTTATCGGATATTAATATATTCTGTGCATTGACCGTATAATCAGTATGGAATTGACAGGTTAATAAAATCAAACAATAACTCATATTAATATTGTAGTTATTAGACGTATATTATAAAAATTGAGTAAAGGTTGCTTTTATGATGATTTTATCTTCGATAATTTGCATTATTTCTATAAATAAGTAATAGTTATAGTTCAGATTTTAAAAAATATGGAATTTATTGCAAGCGCAGCGTAGCGGAGCGCAGCAATAAGTTCTATATTTTTTTAAAATATGAACTATAACTGGCTTACCGTTTGTCCCACTTTCTTATCCAATCAAATGCTCCAATTTATTTGAAATATATTGCATACACTATACAGGGACTGGTGTATGTGAAAAATAAGTTGACTTATTTTAACAGGTATTGACGTGATATCTGACAAATATGACGTTATGAATATGGGCGGAGTTTTACATTAGACAATGAATGTGGCATGCGAATAAAGTAAACAAATAAGAAAGCATTTTTCATACGGTTATTTATAAATCCAAGCCTTTACATGTACACACATTATTGAAACAGTACCATGGTTATAATTCAAACATTAGAAAACAGTTTGTGGCTGATCACTGAAAATCATAGACATGGAATAATTCAATTAGAGAAATCTCAAAGTTCGAAACTAACACATATCTTAAAAAAAACATACAGAATATCCATTTTTCATAATTACATGACCAACTTTTTTTCCCACATTTTGTTAAAACTCCACTTTTTTAACAGTTGACATCGACCCATATACCCTCGTTATAGACAACTCGCGCATGCGTGGATCCAATATTCTGCGAAGTTAAAAAAAAAAGAATCTTCAGTTTTAACAAAGTTCACGTGCATGGATTTTTCATTTCGAAGATACCCTTTTAACCTTGCAGCAATGTTTAGTAAAGTTGTTGGAGGATAGAATTCTCCATTTTTTCTTTCAATTTCACAGATGAATTGTTGCGACCAAAAATCCATTTTTTGCACATGAACAGAACTGCTCTGTTTGATCGGGAATAGGATAACCAGGCTCTTGCATAGTCTCCTGTTGTAGGTTGCGGTTTTCAGCCAACTCCCTCCAGCCGTGCACTGTCCAGTTGTTGTTTTTCGTTGTATTATTGGGCATTGTATTTCTGTTTCATCAGATGACAAAAGCTTTTCAAATCGGCCTGCAAAATGCAAATATCAAAGAAATCACTTAAATATGATTTTCAATGATTGCAACGGCATTTAAGGCAGATTAACCATGTTATGTTTGAATAATTTACCCAGATAGCAGACAGTAGTTGGCCCAACGTTGGGCCAATTACATTTGCTTTGTTGGCCCAACACATAATGCCAACGTTGGCCCAATGTCAATTTGCTAATTGGGGCAACGTTGGGCCAACGGTTGGTATATGGTTGGCCCAACGACTGCTTTCCTAATCTTATCGTTGGCCCTTCATTGGCCCAATGACTGGTTTTCCTTCCTATCGTTGGCCCTCTGTTGGCCCAACAACTGGTTTCCCTTCTTCTTGTTGGCCCCCCGTTGGCCCACTGACTGGTTTCCTACAATAAACATTGGCCCTTTGTTGGCCCAATGCCTTGTTTTCATAAAAGAACAAAATATATACTAATTACTACAATTTATTACTAAATGTTGTTCACATATCATTTTCATTTTCTTCTCTTTGTTGTTGCAACTTTTTAGTCAATCTCTTCCTCCGCCCGCCTTCCCTATCCTTAGCATATCTTAGCCACTCCTTCATTGTCTTCTCGATTTCATTATTAGTAGACCCCTGTCTTCTTCCTCTTACAGCATCTGAAATTTATACAGTTTACTGATTTTATTTAAATATACACTACTTATTATAATTTACTAGTAAAAAAGCACATAAATCTGTCAAAATGCAAATAGAGCTAAGGGATAAGACTTTGATAGTAAAGAAATATTTTAAATTACAAGTCAATAGATTTAATAGTAACAGAGATATTTGACATAATTAAAAAATTTAACCTAAAGTTTTTAAGTAAAAAATTAAAGGGGCATAATTCTGTCAAAATACAAATAGAGTTATGATGATCATTTACAACACAAAAGTCACATCTTACACCCATGGTGTAAAATAATTTTCTAGCACCGGTGAAATCACCTTTGAAAAAGTAAAAATACAAACCTAATATGACTTTTTTAAGTCTAAGTTTTTCGAATGTTTTTTTCGAGCCTTTTCCAACCCAGTTGTATTCTAGGGCAACTTCCTGAGACAAAGTGTGAGACATAACATGGCGAACAATGCTCTCCCAATTAGACATAAATTTGCTGTCTGAAATGAAATAAAAACAATTTTTGCAGTCGGGTAAAGTATAATTTGTGTTTAATGCGAAGTTACACTTCAAATTAAATTTACACAAAGTTTCGTATACACTCTACTGCAATGAGTGGTGTAACTGTTAAAAAGTCTAGTAACAAAGCAGAATTTTGCAAATAACTCATAATCAATCATAATTACCTATTTATACTCAGAACAGATTGTATGGGCTTAACACTTCAGTGCTTATTGTAGCTTGTCAGTTTTTACTAACTTGCAATTTTTTTGCAGTTATCACAATAAATTCAGATGTAAAACTATAAACATATCATATTTTAAGCTGATAAACACTGATAGAATTAAATGGTTTTAATTTCATTACAAAAATCAAATTCATTCTGGCTTGTTTACCTGAAAACATCAAAGTCTTTACCAATCCGCCATTTTGTATTAATCACATGACCTGGTCACGTGGATTTTAAAACACTAATTCCGTGCAGGTTTAAATACATTACTATATTAGAAGGGTTTATTTAAAAGATTAAAGTAAAAAAACTCTAGATCTACTTACATTTTTCAGTGTTGAGAAATTGCAGTCTAATACAAATTTATTTAGATCTATCTGTAACGTCCACGCAGCTTCGAAATCAAGCGAGAGAAAGGATGGGTAGTGCCAAAATGATCCTATTTTCATTCATTGATAACATAACCAGAGGTTAATTAGAGTTCAGAGTGGAAGATTCCGGAGGTTTATTATGGTTATTCCAGCACATGTATAATTGCTTTAGATTATACATCAGATCTTCAAGATTTCTATAGATCTATTGATACATATCCCCTACTACTGCATAGCCTGGGCTTTGGTCTTTTCTAGACTCAAAAAGTAATTATTTCTTACATTTCTCATTAAATTTATATGAGTATTTCTTGAATGTGACAATATTGAACATGGCTTCAAAAAAACATCATAAACTTTAGTCTTTACTCATTGTAGTGTACTGTTTATATACAGTAAAATATCTACATGCATATCTGTCTTTAAAAAAATATATTTTGGGTCAGGTGCAGTAATTAATATATTTGACGAAAATGTATCGTTGGTCAAACGTTGGCCCAACATCTGTTTTAAAGTACATATTTATCGTTATTGGGCCAATGCAGAAATGTCGCTGGTGTTAACTTATGGTTGGTTCAACGTTGGGCCAACAACTGCATTTATAGTACATGTTAATTAGAG